CTAGAAATCATCAACTAGGAAGTTGCATCATCATCATCATAGTAAAATAATTTCTTCATGGCTGGTCCATTCCATCTGACACCGTATGCATCAACCAACATTCTATTAGGATAATCTTCAATTTCTTTTTAAAATAGCAAAAAACTACCACTCACTTTTTTGTCCTTGAACTGTTTTACATGCTTTTGTTTCAGCATAACCGTGTTTTGGCTTTCATTCATGTAGAAAATCTGCACAATAATAAGGAACAAATAATCAAATAAAATATGTCTTTTTGCATTGTTATTTCAGTCAAGATTTCATTTTTATTGCATGACTAGCTAATATTAGTTCATTTTATTCTCTTACTATAAGGAATTTCAAATTGCATGATCTACTTTGGCATGCTAAAACCTCACATTCATCCCTTAACAGCATCATAGTTTGAGTTAATCGAGACATTTATGGCACTTATTTTATTGTTCATTTGTTCCATATTTAATCTGAAATTTCAGATTTATCAAACACCACCTAAGATTACCACTGTTGAGGTCATGGTGGCTAGTGGAGAAAAGTTACAGGGTTTGAGTAAATGTGCCAACGTTCCCATCTCCATTCAAGGGACTACTATCACCCCAAATTTCTATTTGCTGCCCCTTCCTGGTTTTTTTAGCCCAAAATTTACACTCAGTGGAGGGGAGGCCCCCAAAAAATTTATTAATGAGTCTTGGAAGATCATGTCTTGACTGAAAAGTCTGATTTATCTTGGTCCCACGCCTGATATTGGTGAGAGGATCAACCACTGTGTTTCCTTCCCTCAATACATGTTCAAAAGATATCTGCAAGTCCAAACATTCAGAGTAAATAACATCAACAAATTTCAATAAATTCCATGGGAACTTACTCCATTCAGAATATCAGTATCAAATTTGGAGTCACTCTCTATCACAGTGGAAGGGAAGTTCATAGATTTTGCATAACATATAGCATTTAAAATTTCCTAAACTTCAGTCTCCATGTTAGTTCCAGAACCATAGTAGTAAGTGAAGCCGAAAAGAAAAGAGCCTTGCTGATTTCTAAGAACACCACCACCTGGATTACTACGACCGGGAAGCACCATCAACATTAATTTTAATTTTGTGAATCATTGGTGGACACCAAAGCACCCAACGGTACCTCTTCAGCTTAGGATGATAAACTATCACATTAAACACTTCAAGAATGGAGGTTTCCATCAAGGAAGAGGATTTCAAAGGAGGGGACCATTGAAGTTGTTGGAGCCAAGAGATAATTGTATAAATAACAGAGGAGGCTGAACAAGAAACATTTTCCATTTGTCTCTTGCACCTTTCTTTCTAGACCTTCCAAACAATATACATAGCTGTTGAACCAATAATCTTAGCTAGAGAGTTGCAACCGTACGTGAGTCTCTACTCAACTGAAGCCAATGTAGGAGCCTTGACCGAACTTATAGAGTTCTATTACCGGTTATCAGAGACCTGCGATAGACTTCATGATAAAGTCCATTGCATGACCCTTACACGTGATGAACTTTATCATGATCTAATCGTTTCCTTATCCTGATAGACTATTTGATAGAGTTTAGGTGTAACTTAAACTAATATCTTAGTCTTGAGTGTTGTACACAAACTCAAACTCTAACAGTTGTATTGCACTCAATCTTTATCTATAAATAGATCAAGGTTCGATCAAGTTATCATTGAACCATTCACATCGGTCCAGATCTCTTTTATTTCTTCAACTGAACTAAATGGAATTGGATTAGAGGCACTTCAACAAGTGTAGAAAAGTTACTTCAAACTTTCAAAGCTAGATTTCCATTAGGAGTTGTTCGGTTTGAAGGAAAAAGTAGGGAAAGGAAGAGAAAGGTAGGAAAACATTGTTTTTCTATGCTTACAACAATTACAAGCGGATGCTAATTGAATTCCAAACTTCTGAACATTCAAATCTATAGGAATGCCACCTTAAATAATTTTCCATGTAAAAAAGGATATTTTCTTTGGTATCCTCTGATGCCAAATGGATTATATTTAGCCCAAAACACTCTTGGTTCTCTACTCTGTATAACGTTCTAATTAAGATGATTTACAATTAAAAGAACCCGAAGTATTAGCAGTCCAAAACCAGATGCCGTTCCCTACTAAGAGATGGATCACCCTCAATGGTGCAGCAGACTTAATTTCGACCAAGTCACCCAACTATGCTTAGTCATTGGTGGTACTCCAAAGCAAGTGTCTGAACTTCCTTTCCAATCTATGTCATAACCCCTTCAGCAAATCAAATTTCATCATTAAGTGAATGCTCACCCGACCTCTAGTTGAGAGTAGTTTACTTTGCCACGTCACAATTTTCATCTCCACTTTTTCCACTAGGGCCCCGTTCACTATTTGGTAAGTTATTTACCCATGTTCTTTTATTTCCCATGCAAACAAGACAATGACCATTTTAGCCATAAAAATCCATTATTACAAGGGGCATTTTTGTCCCATTCAAGTGTTGGCAACTTTCTCCCAAGGTGGGAAAGTTATTTACCCACCTAGGAGATGGGCATCACTTACCTAGGAAAATAAACTTTCCCTGGTCCCCACATAAATCTGAAAAAAGATCATGGGATTCTTGGTCAATTGGAATCAAAATCCCATTGACCAACTTTCCTCCCTCTCAAAATCTAGAAAAAGAATGCTCCCTAAAGCAGAAAAATATCGAAGCCTACCCTTACCTTTTGTATAGGAACTTTAAGGTAACTACAAGGAAGCTTTCAGTGTGAGAACAACCCAAGGTTAGCTCTACAATGGATACCCGGGGTTAGACTAGCCTTAGATTCTGCTACATAGAAAGTGATAAGTTTAAGTTATTCATAAGAACTTGGGGCATTTCTAGGCTTAATTGTTGGGATTCTAGGGTTAATTTGGGTAGTTATGATCTAGTTTAATGCATTCGGATGTTGTGTCACTTTTCAGGTATCTAATCACCAAAGATGAAGGTTTTGGGCCAATTTGGGACAATCTAGGGTGAAAAGGGCAGCACTTTGGCCCACAAAGAAGAAAAACCCAGCTGAAAGGCCCACAAAGAAGCAAGACCTAGTTGAAAATCAATTGAACAGCAGTTCGGCCCACCAAGAACAACAGCCCTATTCGCAGCCTTATAGGGGAGAAAGGCGGCTGCCTTTAGAGAAGAGGAAAGGTATAAATAGAAAAGAAAAAGAAGGGATTAGGGTTCGAACCCCTAAAAGAAAATTGAAGAAGACTTGCTAGAGAGAAGAGAAGGCTGCTGAAGGCGAATTGGAGAAGGATCATAGCAAGGAGAGGAGATCGAAGATTGATGCAAAGATTTATAAGTTGTCTTCTTCTTTAATTCTGTAGTTTGGTAACCTAGATTCGATTAGGGTTTCTTGATGTTTCTCTATTGAATCCTTCTTCTTTCTTTCTTTTATGCAAACCATGATGAGTTTTAATTCTGACTTGTAATTAATTTTTAGCAGATCCGATTGAGTGTGATTTAGTCTTGGGATTCTTGATTAGGGTTTTGATTTATAGAATAATCTTGGCCCAATTGTTCTTGCATCTTGGATTACTTGAATTACTTGAATTACTTGAGAAAGAGTTTAGGTAATCAGATCATCTAATCAAGAAAATGGACTGAATGCATCTTAGAGATAAGTTGCATGGTTCGGTTGGCAATCATTCATACCTAAATTGATGACCTGCAAATTCTGTGTTCTTAATGCATCTATGGTGATTAAATTTCTGATAGAGATATAGGAATTGTCGTTCGTAGATAGGGTGGGATGCGCTCGAGAGAGGCTGCTCATAAATTAGGGTTTCGCCAACCCAAGATTGAATTCACTTCGGTTGGACAACTTAAAGATCTGATTGCTAAATCGGTTCTGTCAATTCTTGTATGCAGTACTCTTCGTATCATTAAAAGTGGTTTGATCCAAAATTAATTAGGATAGTTTGCCTATTTGTAATTACATCATGAGGGGCTAGGTTTCTATTGTTAGGGATTAATACCTGATCATGCATTGATTTTCAGTCATTAATAAAATCGATGAGATTCTTGCTATATTGTGTTATTTGTGCTAATTACTTATCATTGATTGATCACCAATGATTCATTCTTTAATCAAGATTATCCATTGAGAGATGAAAATTGAGGTGGAATTAATAACACTTATTCGACCAATAATCAGGTAGAGATATCATTTGTTGGTAGGATTTCCTTATAGGTGTATTAATAGCTTGTGTTTATGCAAATAGAATTTCGATCGAAAGAATGAGAATTCATTGATTGTAATTCCATTTAATTGAACACAGGGTTAGCTAGTCGACTCTTGAGAAAGATTGACTAGTGATTTTAGGAACACCTTGGAGTATAACAACCCTCATGGGATTGTATTGATATTGAATCTTGATGATTGTGATAGGATTAATCCCTAACAACTTTGTTATTGATTTTGTTCAAGGTTCTTGTTTTTATCAGTTAAATTTCCTTAATTAGTAGTGCGCAAACCCAATTAATCATTGTTTTAAACAAGTTGAGAAGAAATTAATAGGTGGCTTAATAATTCATTCCTCGTGGGAATGATTCTGTATTCCTTACTATATTACTTGCACAACTCCATACTCTTGCGGATAGCGATCAAGTTTTTGGTGCCGTTGCCGAGGAGTGAATTTTATTTAACACCATAATTAATTTAGTTTCTCTTGATTTAAAGCACGACTTTTTTTTTTATTAGTTTTTGCTAACTTTGTTTGTTTGCATTCTTTCTTTAGRTASKGTTTCGGYGTATGCAAAGAACTCAAAGTTCACAACCCGAGCTTCTTCCTTTTAGACCTGAGATCGAGAATTTTGTTAGAGAAAATAGGAAAGCTCAGCAAGTAAGGTTTTCAGAGATGGCAGAAGATAATGGAGGTAACCAAGCAGACCGACAAGATAGTGAGAGAACTCTTAGAGACTTTGCTATGCCTAGACTGCATGGTGCACAATAGTGTATCGCAATGCCGAACATCAATGCCAATAACTTTGAGATTAAGCCAGCTCTACTCCAAATGATTCAATCAAGCGTGCAGTTTTATGGCATGGGCAATGGAGATCCTAATGCTCACATCGCAAATTTCTTGGAAATCTGTGATACTTTCAAATACAATGGAGTTTCAGATGATGCTATTAGGCTGAGGCTTTTCTCTTTCACCTTTAAGGATAAAGCTAAATCGTTGTTAAATTCTCTACCAGCAAATTCCATAACCACATGGACACAACTGGCATAGGCTTTCTTGGCTAAGTATTTTCCCCCAGCTAAAACCGCAAAGATCATCAAAGACATCACTACTTTTCAGCAATTTGAGAACGAATCATTGTATAAGGCTTGGGAAAGATTTAAGGATTAGCAGAGAAGCTGCCCTCACCATGGCTTACCTAAGGGACTTTTGATTCAGACTTTCTACAATGGAGCCACTCRCACTACTAGAGATACTATTGATGTTGCTACAGGAGGTTCCTTGATGAGGAAAACTATAGATGCTACTTTTGATCTCTTAGAGGAAATGGCAGCTAATAATTGTTTGTGGCCAGCCGAGCGACTAAATCCACCTAGACAGGGAGGCAAATTAGAAGCAGACTCCATAGCATCCTTGCAGGCTCAAATTTCAACCTTAATCAAGCAATTGGGCACCATGAACGTGCARGCCAAYGCCATCAACAATTCTATGCAACCAATCTGTGAGTATTGTAATGGTATAGGTCATGTTAGTTCTAACTGTTGTGTTGGAAATTTTAATTTTGCAGGTGGGAATTTTATGGAGCAATGCAACTTTGTGGGGAATCAATTCCAAGGAAGGCAGGTCAACAACCCTTACTCCAACACATATAACCCAGGGTGGAGAAACCACCCCAATTTTTCATGGAGTAGCAATAACAACAATGCTGGAAGTTCCAGTTTCCAAAACAACAACATGCCTAGACAGCAAGGACCACCAGGATTCCAGCAACATCCTCAGCAGGATAGATCAGGTTCTTTTGAAGCCAAGCTGGATAAATTCATGGACATGATGAGTAGCAAGATGAGCAGCCAGGATGAGGCCCAGAGAAGGATGGAAACTAAATTTGATCAAATTGCAAAGAACCGTTCGTCTTCAATTCACAACTTGGAGGTGCAGATAGGCCAACTAGCCAATGCTGTTTTGGCTAGGAACCAAGGTAATTTACCAAGCAGCACTGAGACTAATCCAAGGGAGCAACTCAAAGCAATTTCACTAAGGAGTGGAAAAGTGCTGGAGCCAAAGCAAGATGTGCAAAGTAAGAGGACAGGTACAAATGTTGAGAGTCCTTCATCAACCAATGCTGAAATATATGATGAAGAAACCGGTGATAAGTCAGAGGGGAACCAAGGTGACAAGGAGAATCACTCTAATTCCCAGCCTTTACCCTATGTCACACGAATCCCTTTTCCTCAAAGACTGAAGAAGCAGGAGACTGAACAACAATTTTCCAAATTTTTGGTTATTTTTAAGAAGCTACAAATCAATATTCCTTTTGCTAAGGCTCTTGCTCAAATGCCTCAATATGCTAAATTTTTGAAGGAGATCATCAATAATAAGAGAAGATGGGAGGATGAACAAACGGTCTCATTGATTGAAAAGTGCAGTTCAATCATCACCAGCAAGATGCCTGCCAAATTGAAAGACCCAGGGAGATTTACAATTTCATGTGTTGTTGGCAGCATTGAGTTTCCTAAGTGTTTGTGTGATTTAGGTGCTAGCATTAATTTGATGCCTTTGTCTATTTTTAGGAAACTTGGTCTTGGAGAAGTAAAACCTACCTTGATGAATTTGCAACTGGTAGATCATTCCATCAAGAAACCTCATGGCGTGGTTGAGGATGTACTTGTGAAAGTGGACAAGTTTATATTTCCTGTGGACTTTGTTGTGCTCGATTTTGAGGAGGATCATGATTGCACCTTGATCCTTGGCAGACCGTTTCTAAACATAGGGAAAGCTTTGGTTGATGTGTATGAAGGAAAGCTGACCCTTTGAATTGGTGATGACAAAGTGGAGTTTAACATGTCCAAGGCTATGAAGCATCCTATGGAGGAAGAACTTTGTATGAGAATTGATGTGATCGATTCATGTGTGAAAGAAGTATGTCAATGCTTGTGAAACTGAACCTTTTGCTAAACTTGAATTACTTGTAAGAAGTGCTAACCCCACTCCTCCTTCTATTGAGCAGCCACCTAAGCTCGATTTGAAGCTTTTACCATCACATTTGAGGTATGCATTCTTGCGAGATGATAATACCTTGCCAATTATTATCTCAAACAAATTGTCGAATAAGCAGGAACAAAAAGTGTTAAATGTGGTAAGGCGTAGGATTTAGGCTTTAGGTTGGCAGATTTCTGACATAAAGGGCATTAGTCCTTCTATTGTGATGTACAAGATTCACATGGAGGATGGATTTCATGCCACAGCTGAGATGCAAAGAAGATTGAACCCGCACATGAAGGAAGTAGTGAAGAAAGGGATTGTCAAGCTTCTTGATGCAAGTTTATCTATGCTATTTCTGATAGTTCTTGGGTCAGTCCTGTTCAGTGTGTACCCAAGTAAAGTGGTATGGCTGTTGTGAAAAACGAAGATGGTGAATTTATTTCTAAGCGGGTAGTTGATGGATGGCGCGTGTGCATTGATTACCAGGATCAAGAGAAGACCACTTTTACATGCCCATATGGCACTTCTGCTTATAGGCGAATGCCTTTCGGGTTGTGTAATGCACCAACTACTTTTCAGAGGTGTATGATGGCCATCTTCTCTGACATGATTGAAGACATAATGGAGGTATTCATGGATGACTTTTTTGTCTTTGGTGATTCATTTGATCTGTGTTTGGCTAACCTTGACAGGGTTCTTAAAAGATGTGAGGAGACTAACCTTGTTCTAAACTGGGAGAAGTGCCACCTTATGGTGGAGGAAGGCATAGTTTTGGGCCACAAAATTTCCAGCAAAGSTATCGAGGTTGACAGAGCTAAAACAGAGATCATTGAAAAGTTGCCACCTCCTACATCGGTAAAGGGTGTTAAAATCAACTTTAGTATCTGCACCAATCATCTCACCACCAGACTGGTCTTTGCCTTTTGAGATTATGTGTGATGCTAGTGATCAAGCTATTGGAGTTGTGCTATGGCAAAGGAAGGATAAGAAGATGCATGTTGTGTATTACGCAAGCAGAACTTTGGCGGATACCCAGCTCAATTACACAACCACTGAGAAGGAGATGTTAGCAGTGGTGTTTGCAGTGGACAAATTCAGATCATATCTGCTTGGCTCTAAGGTAATAATTTATACTGACCATGCTGCTCTCAGGTACCTTTTTGCCAAGAAGGATGCAAAGCCACGACTCATTCGTTGGATTTTACTCCTTCAAGAATTTGATATTGAGATCAGAGATAAGAAAGGATTAGAGAATGTAGTAGCTGATCACTTGTCTAGGTTGGAGGGTGTTGAGAAAAGAGATGATGAGCCTGAGATCAATGAGAATTTCCCATATGAACTCCTTCTAGATATTCAACATTTGAGTGCACCCTGGTATGCAGATTTGGCAAATTATTTAGCTTGCGATATCCTGCCACTAGATTTGTCTTATCAGCAGAAAAAAGCAGTTTTTGTCGGAAGCTAAGCATTACTTATGGGAGGATCCTTACATTTACAAGATTTGTGGTGATAATATCATTAGGAGATGTGTGCCTGAGGAAGAGATGCTTGACATTCTTACTCATTGCCATGACTCAGCATATGGTGGTCATTTTGGTGCAACAAAGACAGTTGCTAAGGTTCTAGAGAGTGAGTTTTTCTGGCCTACATTATTTCAGGACTCTAGAGGGTTTTTTGCTAGATGTGATCGCTGACAGCGAGTGGGAAATATCTCCAAGAGAAATGAGATGTCATTGACTTCTATTCAGGAGATTGAACTTTTTGATGTGTGGGGAGTTGACTTGATGGGTCCTTTCCTATCCTCACATGGGAACCGTTACATTTTGGTGGGAGTGGATTATGTCTCCAAGTGGGTTGAAGCGGTTGCATCCCCCACCAATGATGTTAAGGTAGTGATTAAATTCTTGAAGAAACTTTTCTCGAGGTTTGGAGTTCCTAGAGCTATCATTAGTGATGGGGGATCCCACTTTTGCAACAAATAGTTTGATTCTCTCCTCAAGATATATAATGTCTATCACAGGGTTGCTACACCCTATCACCCCCAGACTAGTGGGCAAGTCGAGGTATCTAATAGGGAACTTAAGAAGATTTTGGAGAAGACTGTCAATGGGTCAAGGAAAGATTGGGTTGCAAAGCTTGGTGATGCTTTATGGGCGTATCGGACTACTTACAAAACCCCTATTGGTATGTCCCCTTATAGGTTGATTTATGGCAAGGCGTGTCACCTTCCTGTCGAGTTGGAACACCGGGCCTTTTGGGCAATGAAGGCACTGAACTTCGATATAAAGACTGTAGGTGAAAAGAGAATGCTACAACTTAATGAGTTAGATGGGATTAGACTGCAGGCATATGAGAATTCCAGGCTATACAAGGAAAACACAAAGAGATGGAATGATACGCATATTGTTTGGAAGGACTTCCAGGTAGGTAATTTGGTTTTGTTGTTTAACTCTCATTTGAAATTGTTTCCAGGAAAGCTGAAGTCGAGATGGAGTGGACCATTCACAGTCACTCATACATTTTCTCATGGTGCTCTTGAATTGGAAAACTCGAAAAGGAGAGCGTTTTAAGGTGAATGGTCACCGTTGCAAGCCATACCTTTAGGGTGAAGTGCTTAGAGAAAGGGAGATAGTGTCCCTTATTGAGCTTGTTTGATACTGCCATGCAGGGGAGTTTCTATTTCTGATTATTTATTTGTCATTAGGGACAATGCCATGCCGTGGGGGGGGGGGGGATTAGGTGTGATGTTTAAGTAATTGCAACAGTCATTTCTTTTGAATTTCTCTGTTCTAGGTATAATTTTTGCAGAAATTGTGTGAACTATGCTCGATATTAATAGTGTTAATCTTTTTGAGAGTTAATGCAAGAATGCTACTCATGCTATTTTTAGGACGTATCAAGTTAAAAGAATTTAGGGTGAATTTACTAAGTTGTAATGTAAAGTGCATAAATTTAGGAAGTTCATTTGGTGTGTATAATACTTTTGAGATGCGGATTAATGGGTAGTTTGGCAAGGTAGCTGATGAATGAAATTACATTTACTCCTTTGGATGCTATTCATTGTAACTATAATGGAAGTCAAATTATTTAATTCTGAGACATGATTTAAGGTCAATTAAATTAAAATGTGTCTACTCCAATGTTTTTGGTTGCTTAGTAACCGGGAATCTTCATCATAAATGTTGATTTTCACGTAAAACGGTGACTGAGAATAAGAGTATGCAAAGCATTCTAAGTATATTATATGTTGAGTAACCAGGTGCATTCGTTACCCACGTTTATATTTGTGTCAAAAGGCATATTAATAACTTAGGAAACACTAAAATGCCCCACAAGTGGCGTGTTGAAAAGCTTAAGTGTGGTGGAGGTTTGCAAAAAAAAAAAAAAAGTTGACCTTAATGATCTCATGTGACTCTATGCTATTTAGTTGGTAAAATCCATGGCATTTGAATTTGCATTTGTAATTTCATTTATTGACAATCTAGTTGAGGTGCTTATTATGAAGTGTTTATAAAGTGTTCATATACTCATATTGATGTCTVTTGAATTTTTTTGAATTTACATTGTGAGTTGGTGATTTATCCTGGATTTAGTTGACTTGTGTGCTCTTAATTAAAACATGGGCAGTGCATTGGTGAGACTCTTGTGATTAACATAGTGAACCGAGCACAATTGTGTTTAATTTGATTTTTTTTGCATAGATTTTGCTTGATTTGTGTCTTTGTTACTTGGGGACAAGTAACAATTCAAGTGTGGGGGAATTTGATAAGCTTAAGTTATTCATAAGAACTTAGGGCGTTTCTAGGCTTGATTGTTGGGATTCTAGGGTTAATTTGGGTATTTATGAGTCAGTTTAATGCATTCGGATGTTGTCACTTTTTAGGTAACTAATTGCCAAAGATGAAGGTTCTGGGCCAATTTGGGACAATATAGGGTGAAAAGGGCAGCACTTCGGCCCACAAAGAAGCAAAACCCAGCTGAAAGGCCCATAGAGAAGTAAGACCCAATTGAAAATCAATTGAACAACAGTTCGGCCCACCAAGAACAACAGCCCAATTCGCAGCCCTAGAGGGAAGAAAGGTGGCTGCCTTTAGGGAAGAGGAAAGGAATAAAAAGAAAAGAAAAAGAAGGGATTAGGGTTCAAACCCCTAAAAGATATTTGAAGAAGAAGACTTGCTAGAGAGAAGAGAAGGCTGCTGAAGGCAAATTGGAGAAGGATCACAACAAGGAGATCGAAGATTGATGCAAAGATTCATAAGTTGTCTTCTTCTTTAATTCTGCAGTTTGGTAACCTAGACTCAATTAGGGTTTCTTGAGGTTTCTCTATTGAATCTTTCTTCTTTCTTTCTTTTATGCGAATCATGATGAGTTTTAATTCTAACTTGTAATTAATTTTTAGCAAATCCCATTGAGTGTGATTTAGTCTTGGGATTCTTGATTAGGGTTTTGGTTTATAGAATAATCTTGGCCAAATTGTTCTTGCATCTTGGATTACTTGAATTACTTGAGAAAGAGTTTAGGTAATGAGATCATCTAATCAAGAAATGGACTGAATGCATCTTAGTGATAAGTTGCATGGTTCGGTTGGCAATCATTCATACCTGAATTGATGACCTGCAAATTCTGTGTTCTTAATGCATCTATGGTGATTAAATTTATGATAGAGATATAGGAATTGTCGTTTGTAGATAGGGTGGGCTGCGCTCGAGAGAGGCTGCTCATAAATTAGGGTTTTGCCAACCCAAGACTGAATTCACTTCGGTTGGACAGCATAAAGATCTGATTGCTAAATCGGTTCTGTCAATTCTTGTATGCAGTACTCTTCGTATCAT